GGCCTCTTAATTCTGTTTCAGTGAGCCAAATCAATCACATAATTTCTTGCTTGTTATAGAGCTTTCGTTTAGGTGTGTAATGGGCCGAAATTAACTGATAAATAGAAAGACTAACCCGCGCTAGTTAACAACAGAGAACAATAACATTTTTCTTGTGGAGTCGCATTTCGTTGATTGGACTAACACACATCTTTTTTTAAGTTATTTTACATCGTGGTAACGCTAACCTAGAGGTATATTTCTGCAATGGGTGGCTTAACTTATGCTGATGGGATGTTTCTTATGTAATTAATTTTAGCACTTTACAATTAGAACTTTCTCAGATTTAATTGCCTCAGGTAAAATGTGTCATTTTCCCTTTTTTAATAAGGCAATTTGAAACTGACGTTATATTATTTGTTAATCTACTATTATAAGATTTATTTATGCTTAAGTTTTACGATTCCGGTCACGGACAGAAATCAAGCAGACATGCAAAAAAACCTTATTTGAACTCTCAACATGCACGAATCATACTTGAGATAATTTTATGCACGTAAGCATAAGCCGACATTTGCAGGCGCAGTAAGTTGTTGATAAGTTTTTTTTAATTAGCGCCTTTTTTCTGGAGCAATTTTTTAACTGACGTATGTGATGTTTCTTATGCTGATGCTTGTGTGATAGTGAAAACCAACTTTTCGTATTTTTTACTTTTTTTTTTTTAAATGCATATAATTTAATCCACGTGGTAAACGCAAGACTAGTGCGACCTTCATTTTCAACGAGCAACTTGTAAAACAGTCTTAAACTCAATTCATTGCAAAAGCAATGTGGAATAATTGTTTCAAGTGCAATAGATATAAATTTTTAGAGTTTTAAAGCGTAATATTGAGGGTCTCGTTATCGGCCGATATAAATAATTTTTTTTTTTTTTTTTGTGGTCGTTGCTGTTGTTGCGAGGTATAGCTATAAGTTATAAACGAGTATAATTTCAATATTTCAGGGGAAATCAAATCTTACACTTCTCGAAGAAAACAAGAAAACGTCCAAGATCGTAGGTATGGAGTTTGTAGGGTAAGGTAGAGTAGGGAACTCCCGCGGATAATGGCAAAGGCGGGATATCACTAAACCATAGTACAACCACATGAATACATTAAACCTGAGTTACAAGTGAGCGTTGTTTCATGCTTTCTTTTGTTTTCCAGAATGTATGGTTCAGAATATGGCATTCTGTGAAAAGGATATTTGCATATTACGAAGGAGTAGGGTGTGGGATTTGGCTGAGTCATCCAGACGAAAAACAAATGAATTGCGACTAGCACAGTATAAATTGGCTCGGAAAACGAAGAAAACCACAATATTGGAATGCATAACTCGCAAACTTTATTTACTATTAATTTCCTCGGTAATGCTTTAGACGTTTACTGTTAACCTGATGTGGTTTTCTGTGTAGTCTATAATTCGTATTTCTTATCCTTGTCATGTAGTCACTTGTTAAGCCATCATGCTAAATAGAAAAAACAATAATAAAGAACATTGTTAGCCTCCAGGAAAGTTCCTTAATAAATTATCAATCAACTGGCTGCGGTTAACTTTTGGAGCAATTTAAACACACTTATATTTTCGTAACAATCTTAAAATGGCCAGGGCCTTTCTTCTATTACTGTTTCTCTTGAATCTCAACTTCGCCTAAGGACTTCTGCAAAAAAAAAAAAAAAAAAAAAAAAAAATTGCAAAAAAAAAAAAAAAAAAGAAAAAAAATTGCAAAATGCTATTTACATAGAATTTCCGGTAATGTTTCAATTTGGCTCCAACTACGTCATATGAACTCAGGAGCGTGCATGGCTGTGCCACCAAAATAGACTTTAATTATCGTAAGAAATTCGCTTGTTGTTCACATCGCAATTTTTTTTCCTCAAGAGTTCTTTAGGCGGACAAGTGAAACCAATAAAATTTGTATTTTATCCCAAAAGAGACAATAAGGAAGCCAGCTCCTTTACTCATCACCCCAAACCCACAGTTGTGCCATTTGAAGTACGGTAGAGGTAGCAGATTTCTTTGTAGATTTCTTTGGTCAATTTAGCTTAAAATTTTAATACAAAAACAGTATCAGTCCTTTTGAGTCTCTCTCGTTGTAAATGTTTTGTCTTTTTTTTTTTTTAATCTTCATAGGAATAATAAATAGATTATCGAAAAATCTTACAAGAAGCTGATAACAAGTGAATGTGTTTTAAATGGCTAACTTTTAAGTTGTATTTGATTTTAGTATTACCCAGCTAGTGGACTAATGCAAATCCTTCATTTTAATTGGCTACGCTATACTAGAGGGCTATTAATTAACAATTAGACCCGTAGCCCGCAAGGGCTACGGGTCAACAGCCCATGAGGCGAAGCCGAATGGGNAGTAAGGAAACTAAGGACCTTGACAAGATACGGGTGGGCTAACCTTGAGTCGCAAACTATAACAAGATCGACACTTGATGAACTAAAACTAAAAATTAAGTAGCACAAATTAATTTAGCTTCTCAAGAGCGAGCAACTCGCAAAAGCGAGCGACGAAGCCATCAACTTTCGCTCAAGTGCTAAAAAGAAGACGAACTTTTCGAAACTTTAAGAACATTTTTAGTTGATGCAGTTTTCTTTAGAAGTAAATTTTCCTGACAAGATTAATTGGGTGTCAGAGTTTAAATTCTACTATACTCCTGGTTGTTAAATAAGATGAGGAGGCGGTCAGTGTAAACCCAGACGTGCATACGGTGGGTAAAATTTAGACTGCAGACCAGGGGTAAAATGTAGAGTACAAACTGCAGACTTTTGAACTGAATCGTGTTACCATCTCCATCATTGCCGGAGAGTTAACCGTAAACAGGTTAACCGGAGTGTTATTTAAGCTTACCTGAGTGATAATCAGGCTAACCGACCGGAGTGTTATTTAGGCTAACCTAAGTGATATTCAGGCTAAACAGAGTGTTATTAGGGTAACCTGAGTAATATTCAGGCTAACCGGAGTGTTGTTAGGGTAACCTGAGTGATATTCAGGCTAACCAGAGTGTTATTAGGGTAACCTGAGTGATATTCAGGTTAACCGGAGTGTTATTTAGGCTAAACTGAGTGATATCCACTAACCGGAATGTTATTAACGCTAACCTAAGTGACATTCAGGCTAACCGGAGTGCATATCTTCGCCTGAAAAAATCCTGTTTACGGTCAGCAGTCGATAGTGGAAATAACACGATATATATATATGCATTATCATTAAGTCTAGTTAACAATTAGACCCGTAGCCCACAAGGGCTACGGGTCAATAGCTATTGACCCGTGGCCCTTGAGGGCGAAGGGTCTAATTGTTTTAGTATCACTCAACTGGTCGGACAGAAAAGGCAATAATAAAGTTAGCAAATGCAAGTTAAAGAAATGTTTATTTGGGAATAAAACGAAAGAAAGCGTCACGCTCGATTGCGCCANATTTCGCTACTCGAGGACTATTACTAATAGTCCTCTAGTAGCGTAGCCAATCAAAATGCAGGATTTGCATTAGTCCACTAGTTGGGTGATACTAATATCGATTAGTAGAATTCTATTAGTTCATCTATTTATACTTATAATGCAAATGCTGCCATTTAATTATTGGAATTATCATGCAATTTCCACTAGTGTGCGGTGGATAAAGGTCTTCTACAAAATGGCGAAGTTTCTCGTTTCTCCGAAGTTTCGTGCGAATATTTAAAATATAATACTAAAAATATTAATTTCAAGTAAGACTAAAGGATCAGTAACTTTAAAACCTCACGCTTCGCTGTAAAGGTTTGCATTGGCGCTTTTCTAAGTACCGAGCTTTCTAATTGGTTTAAAAAACCGTGCACAAATTCAGCTCTAACCAATTAGGTCAAAGAAAATTGTGGAAATGTGGAAATTTTCATCGAGTCAGGAGCAAAGTCAAACGAAAAGCGACTTTCCTAGAGTGGTTTGAATTTGATTTTCGTAAAATTAGCTTAAGTAATCATTCTGACCAGTCACAAAGGATGCAGACGAGATCCAGTATACCATCGGCTCTAAGCAAGAGAATAATCTCTTGCTCTAAGCAAATACAGGTCAACGATGCAAAACGCGGGAAAACGGCGTGTGCGAACGAGCCATGATTGGCTTTGGTTTTACTTTGAGTTTTGCACTTTTTAAAAATTGAAATACGTTTAGCCTGCGTGCAGACTTTTGACCCACTTTTACTATGTGCTTTGTTTCATAGTAGAAGTTTGCGTAGGCTTAAGGTGGTATGGTACCCTAAAATGGACCAAAAAGTTTGTTTAAATATGGTGAAGAAAGATCAATTGTGCGCTATTGCACTCAAGAAGAGAAATTAAATTTTTGACAGTTTTACTCAAAATGGTTGCTATGGAAACCAGCCACAGCCTTTTGAGGTAGTGTTTTACAGTATTGACGCCAACACTTCCCGCTCTTTTACAAAACAAGATTTGACTGTCAAAGAAGCATATCGTGTAAGCGTATCTGTGCAATGAGCGTAGGTTTTGACAGTCTCTTATTTTCAGTGCTTTTTACAGGCTTTATTTGGAAATAAACTTATTCTATACCACACCCAGTGGACAAATCATCCCATGTCACGTGACAGACGTTAAAATGTTACGATTTTTTTGGTTTATATCATCACGACACTATTGGTCTTTGATGAGCCCAAGTTTCAGAAATTCTACTTAAAAACCTTGCAAAGTAGAAATGTTGGCGCGAAGTCAGTCGGTACAAAAGTAAACATTTGAGAAAAATGCACTTTAATTCCCAAATAAATATTTCTTCAACTTGCATTTGCTAACTTTATTATTGCCTTTTCTGTCCGACCAGTTGGGCGATACTAAAACAGTTAGACCCTTCCCCCTCAACGGCCACGGGTCGATAGCTCATTCGGCTTCGCCTCGTGGGCTATTGACCCGTAGCTCTTGCAGGCTACGGATCTAATTGTTAAGTATCAGGCCTTGAAAATAATTTTCGTTCTTTTTTGGCGAAGAAAACAAATAACTTGACAAATGAGCCACGGAGGATATATAAACCTCTAGTCAGAGTTTGAGCAATTCAGATTTTTTAAATTTTTTAAAGCTATTAGGCGGTTTTGTTTGATTCATAAAGACATCACTCAGAAGTGTTTAGTTGATCACAACACCAATCTAATACTTACCACAATTTCCCCAGATTCCCTTGTAGATAGCGTCCAGTGAACACCACAGTATGTCGCCATTATCAACTGTAGTACAAGAGTGGTATGTCACTCCTTCGTAGGTGAAAGGTATGATGCAGCAGTGGCCATCCGTTGTTTTTAGGAAACATTCTAGCCCTTAAAAGAAAGAAACAATTAAAAAACGTAAACTTAATAATCTGCAAAATTAGAGAGAACGGCTTGGTCATATTATCCTTACCTATTATTTGTCCCTTAAACAACAAATACCGAGATACAAATTGCTTGTACGAGAAAATGTTACGCTAGATCGCACAAACAATGTGCCATGTTTAAAAGCGTGTCTATTTGAGAACCAGCAAGGCGGTGATATAGCGCAAATCATCGAATTCTCTCAAATTTGCTACAAACATTGGGAATTGGTGAGTAATGATTATGGTAGAAATATTAGGTCAGATGTTTTATTCCCCCAAGTTAGAAAGAAACCCTGCAAAAAATAGCCATTCAATTAGTTGTCTTTGGTACAATATTTTTAGAACGAGATAGGCCTTGTGAAAATATAATCCAGTTCAATTAAACTTGGCGACTTGATTTATCTCAGTGGCTCCTTCTTAAGTCAGGTGCATACTTCGCAATGTTGTGTATGACCTTGAACTGATAGCAGATATTTTCAATGATTATAGCAAAAACACATTATTCTAACTGTAATATATATATTTTTTTCTGTTTTGGCGTACAATTTACGATTTAGAACTTTACGTTTTATGGCCATTTAATTTCATAGTCATTCATTAAAACACAAAAATCATTTTTTCTGTCTTACTCGAAATCGAATTAAACAAGAAATATCTAGCTAAGTATTTTCCTATTGATTACGAGTAGAAATTCGACGAAAGGGAGCCGACTTGAGAATTTTTTTTTAAAGATTTTCAGACCTGTGTTTGGTCGCATTATTCGATACGAACAGCGGCAGAAGACTAAACTCACAAGTTCTCTCGACTTATATTAATGCTTTCAGGTGTAAAATGGAATGGAAGCAATAACTAACTACTGCATACGTGTCACTTAGACGCGATTTTGTGTTTTCTTTGATTCTTAGACTTTGGTGCACCCTTGAAATGGCAAGCTTCGTTTCATCTGCGTGGTGATTACGACGCCCGTTTTTTAGTGCAGAGTGCACTGTGGGATGGTTTGGGGGACTGCTGTACGCTAAGGTATAAGACAATGACCGCGGCCGCACTAGAGAGTTAACCGGGTTATTTCTAATTAATTAATTACGGTTAACCGGGTTACCGAAAAAATCGTGACGCGGCCGCTAATTTCGGCTGTTCATGGAACTTAAACCGGGTTTACGGTTACCATGGAAATTAATTAATGAACAATAGATTTTTTAACCGGGTAAGGTTAATTTTAAGCCACCTTTTTTCGGCGCTTTAACCCAGGTTAGTGGTCTCTTATCAGCAGTCTGATCAGCGCTGCACGGAAGCGAGTGTTTCGTTTTGCCATAAATGGCGACAGAATACGACAAAGGACGTGAAAAGAGTCGAAGCTCATTCGAAAGTGCTCTCTAAAAAAGTCATGCATGGCAGGATTCCGATGGATTTCCCCAAACCATCGCTGGTCTCTCGGATATACCCAGACTCGAGGACGATTCGACGGCGATGGGGAACACTCTCACGTCTACGTGAAATTAACATCATGTTTGAAAGAACTGCCTTTGAAATTTGCGTAGTGTGCATTAGAAGGAAGAGGGACTGCCTTAGCCGTGAGTGGAGAGAAAGGAAACGAAAACAAAGAAAAAGAATCGAGAATATAACAACAGACTGAACAGGGTCCTCGAAGTCTGCCATTTTGTTGGTTTATCTCATGACGTCAATTGAGTTTAACCCACTTCATTCACAACCCATTTCAGTGAGGCCACTCATAAAATATAACCCCGTTATTTTATTATAACCAACCTTTAACCGAGTTAAGTTGTTTAGAATTTTTAACCAGGTTTCTAAAAAATAAACCCAATTAAATCTCTTAGTGCGGCCGCAGCCAATAACACAATAAGGTGTAAACTTTAATGTTTATTTAATTTATCAGTTTCAATCAATCAATTAGCCTTGCAGGAACGGGAGCTGGGTAGGGTAGCTACCCGTGTGCACTACGCAAAACGTGTCATACTTACGTTGCTTTCTTTGATGACCTGACAAATATATATATATTTTTGCAAATCTCTTGCTATCCTTGTGGTGCTATTCTCTTAAGAAAAAAAACAATTTGCTCGAAACGCTCACCGATGTGGGACATAATTTCGGTTAAGTAAAGATCTCTTCCTTCAATACTTCTTGTTAAAACGCTCCTCAGTTGTATTACTCGATAACATTGTGTATTAGTTTGACGTGTTTTTATTGTTAACACCAAAGCTGGCAACAGAATAAGAACGCACTATTTCGTGACTCGACGTGACTACTAATTAGAATTAGATTAGTTCTTGTTTATCGGTGAAATGAAAATTTGCGTTAAAATAAAATCGTTTCTCGTCGACTTTTCAGCAGATATTCAACTTTTATGATCCATTTATCTCTAGCAGTGAGTTAAAAAAATATGCATCTTTCTTATATTTTCGTGGAAACAAAGGTATCTTGTTGCATACATTGGCAAGGAAAACAGAAGTATCTAGTTACAAGCGTTGGCGCGAAAAGTAAAATTGTCACATTTGCTACTTCTACGTATTGTTGAATTTAAAATGAACGAAACTCAACGCAAAATACCACAAGTAAACTTCAAAACCGTCTTGACAAACGGTAATTGTAAGTAATTCTTGGACCTTGAAAGAAAATACAAACATGAAACATACACACAGCTAAGATTATGTCTTAACAAGTTTTTGTCCGGTGATATTCTGCAAAGGGGAAAAGGCCTAGTTGACTACCAAGGGAGAGAACTATAGGGGTGAAGACCTGTTTGACTACTGTATCAGAGCCGTAGATTCACACTCTGCACTAGTTTTTTTAAGATTATTTATTGCCGTCCCAGAAATATCATCAGAAATATAAACATGGGGCGGAGAGCCATCACTGCTGCTACAATGTACAGATTCCTTTCAAAACCAACAACCATTCCGCCATCTTTTATGATATGATGTTAGACCAATAACGAAAAAAGGCACAGGAAGACTGAAATAGCTCACCGTCCTCGCAGCTTTTACCGGTGTAGTTTTGTTGGCACGTACATCTATAGTCGTCAGTCTCGTAAAGCGCTTGACAGGTTCCACCGTGCAGACAAGGAAAACGTTCACAAGGACTCTGGCAAACAGAAGAAAATTCCGATTAATTAATGTCATTTAAAGCAAAGAGTTACTTTTAAAGTCCACTAAGACGTAAATTTATGGCGAAGTTTCGAATATTTTGAGGTTTTCTTAGAACATCTTTGTGAAACTTCGGAGGATCCTCGGATGCCTTCGGATGTTCGAAGCTAAGTATTCAGAAAATTTTATTTAAACTTTTCTTGGTCATGCTGAATAAAAGAAAACCATTTCGTGTTCTAAAAAAACGAAAACTTCAGCCTAAACGATTCAGTCAGTTCAGTCGATTGTGTCCTTTCCGATCGGAAAGGGCCGCTCAGGTAGGTCGTGTATAAGCGCCGCGTTGTTGTTAAGTGTCGCAAGTTTATTAGAAGCCGGTGGTTATCGGATAAGACGCTCTTTCGAGTAAATAGATTAGATTAATATTTCAATCAGATAGTACCCAATCATCGAGAGCTTGCCTATACTGGCATCGCGACAACTTATATGATCCATAATGTGTCCAATGATTCAGCATGTGTGTGAAAGTGATCGATTGTTCTAGAACATCTTAATTTAGTTTTCATTTGGATAAAGAGAAAGTTCTGTCATCCGCCTAAAATTAACTTCATAGGATATTTATTGAGATGCGGTTTGGTAGAAGCACTGTACAACATCCACATCCACTGTTTGCATTACGTTCATGCAAATTTATTTCATTCGAGAAATTAATAGCTTAATAACGAAAAACTAAATACCACTGCATGTAAAAATTAAAGGTTCAAATGGATTAATTCAGCTTTTAGTATACCCCTGGTGGTCGAGTTCAGTTGTCGACTAAGAAAGGGCCTTTATCTGTTTTATCCCACGTTTTCGACACTACATAAATTATCATAAGTAAAGGTTTTTTTTAGAACAATTTGAAATAAAAACTAAAGGTAAAAGCGCGCGACGTTTCGACCGAACTTCGGTCGTTATCAAGCTGAAAAATCAAGATAAAATTTTTTGCATAAGTATAAATATAAAACAAAGAAGTGTAAGTATGAACGTGTAAAAAAAGGGTGCCAAGAACAATAAAATGCATGCAAGAATAACATAATTAAAAATGATTAAAAAACTCTCGCACGAATCGACTCCGACTGTATCTTGAGACTTGGTCTCAGTTTATTAATAAAAAATTTTCATAAATGAGATAGTCACACTTATTCTTGCACTTTTTTGAGGTGGTAAAACTCTTGGTAAGATCCTTGGGCATATAAGAATGTTTCACACAAAAATGTTTTCAAATGGAGGAAGACACATTCTTGTGCTCGTCTATGCGTTGATGCAAATGTCGTCGGGTGTAACCAACATAACGTAACCTGCATCGCACAGGTCACATTTAAATTGGTAAACAAGGGATTGTTGGTTAACAATAGACGGCTTGCCTTCGCGCGGTTTCAGATGTTGTTTGATCTTGTGAATAACAAACGCGGGCTGGATCATCATTTGGATTTTCTGGCTCGGATCTTTGAGTTGTGTTAGTACAATATCGGCTGAAGCCTGGTCTTTGAATGGCAGAACAACGCGAACAGGATCTAATTCATTGTTAACAGCTGGTAACTCGGGAACAGGTTGATCAGAAGCTTTGACAGCAATAAAACGTGAGATGGTGGAATTAATTAACCTGTCTGGGTAACTCAGTCGAGAAAACACCATTTTGAGCCGATCACATTCCTCGGAAAACTAGGACCAGCTGGAAGAGAGGCGGAAGGCACAGTCAAGCATAGTTTTTAGTAAGCCGCGCTTGTAACAATCATCAACATGGCTCTTGTAATGCAGCAGAAGGCTAGTGTTGGTAGGTTTGACGTATACTTTGGTTTGGATTTGTATAGATTTGTTAAGGAGCTGCATGTGTGCCAAGAAACGGAAGCATTCCATTATTCTCCATCTAACTTAACCGAAGAGTGGTAGTGGTTAAGAGTCTCGAGAAAGTTATTTGCTGAGGATTTATCTGGCATAATAGTTAACATGTCATCCACNATCTAACTTAACCGAAGAGTGGTAGTGGTTAAGAGTCTCGAGAAAGTTATTTGCTGAGGATTTATCTGGCATAATAGTTAACATGTCATCCACATATCTCTTGTAGTATGTGGGCATCTTGCCTTCGCGGTCGAGAGTTTCTTCTATGCTGCACATAAAAACTTTTTCTTTTGATAATGACCGAAGTTCGGTCGAAACGTCGCGCCTTTACCGTTAGTTTTTACTTCAAAATGAAATAAATTATTACCATTATTACTACTATTACTATCACTCTGCAGGTACGTACCAGAATTATGGGATAAGATCCTGATTATTTACATGCTAACCTATAAGCGTGGTATTTTGTCACAAACTTTTTATTATACTATGACTACTAGGTCCTAATTCAGTTCAAAAAATTGAAAGTAAAAGAGATTAATGCGTGGGGTATTTGTTCGGCACATGTCATTAGGGACTGCAACTACACTCTCCCACTTGCAGATAACGTATAAACTCAGACGAGTACCACAATTTTGATACAGAGCAAAGTATGCAAGGTGGGAGTTACATAACTACTAACTGAAATACGTAATTAATACTTACCATGATACTGTAGTGATGGAAGGTATGATTCGCTCTGAACTTCTCGGATGCATTGTATTTGTCAGTTGGAAGTAAATCACACGATATATTTCCGTTTAGTAGATGAAACGCTCCAGTGTTGGCGGAAAAGCAGCGATCGTTCTTTACGCATCGCAACAAGCATTGTCTTCCCGTCTGAACGACGACTCCTTCGATTTTTGGAACGTCCAGAACATGATAAAAATGTTCTATGAATTGTGCGTATCTGAACTGTTTGTTCGGGTCGCGTTGAAGACCGGCCCAGCGAGTGGCGTTGCAGAAGGCATCATCTAATATCTGATACGTAAAGCAAATAAAAGTACTCGCTAATAAAAGCACGAATCCATTCATGATTAACAGAATGGATTCAATGTCACGACTTTGTCTAAAATTCCTATTTATATACTAGTTACCTCCAGATATCATTTATTATTTACTAAAAGGTTTCTAAGGAGTTGTGTCTCTAAATCAATTTGCACAAAAAAAAAACATTTGTTAAGTAAGCATCCAATGAAGATCGTTTTCGAAAAACATTTTTAAATGAATGCGAAAGATAAGAAGGTTTCATGATGTTTCGGCGACCTGATGTCATCATTATCGAAAACAAAAATTAGCATAAATAACATAAACACTTTTTGTTAAATACTTGCGTTTTCATGATGTATCTACATTTAATTGTTCTTACATTTCTCTCCATATATGTTCAGAATTTATTTCGCATTCAACAATAATGATAACATGAGGTCATCGAAACGTCATGTAACCTTCTTTTCGTTAACTTCATTTGAAGTAAACATCAAGTTGGCAAAACATGATATATAATGGCATCGCTTTTTTTTAATTGAAAGTCGACGTCACTTCTTTTCGTAGCTAAAGTAACGACAAATGAATGCTCCGGTACAGTGACAGAACTCTGAAATTTTTGTCGTTACCTAAAGGTTTTAATGCCGTGCACGTGACTTCTTTAAATGAAACTACATTTATTTTAGTGTTCTGGTGATATTTGATGCCAAGTTCTGCTCGACTTCATCTTCGAGAATTTGCCCTACTCTATGGAAATCATTTCTCACTGTTTCCAGGGGGTGTCTATCCATGCAAAATTACTAGGCAATTAATAATGAATACACGCGAAGAGTAATAAGTTGTGAAATTTTCGCAGATGGCTGTATGGCAAAGTGTCTTCGATTCTGACAGAGAATATTATTGTCGTGGGGTCATGTAAGAGCTCGCTGATGTTGACGAGTTTTGTTCAACTTTCTCGCTAATTTATACGACTTTAAAGAAAATATCAAATCACGCTTCGATCATTTATTAGCCACATATTGAACAGTGTCGACCTGAATCGGTTGTACCATATAGCAGCAGGACAGCTTTGCTTGCTCATGCAAGATTTTCTAAGGAGATCTGCTAGCAAAAAGTTAACTCAAAAATCACGTGTTATAAGGCGGTTTTTTAAAATGTTTACGGTTGCAAACGAGCCATGATTTATTATTTCACTCAGTCATCAATTTGTTGCTGTGCAGAAGCTTCACGTTTTTTTTTTTCGTAAATACCTTGAAAGACATTTTATTCTTTAAGGGGAGGGTCTGAAGTATATACGAACTAAAAGAAAACTTTGACCAACAGCAATGTTCAAGTCTAATAAATTAAGCTCGAAAGAGATAGCCCTGAACGTAAATATGGGTCGTTGTCTTAGAAAACCGGGAAAGTGATCAAAGATGGGGTCATCGAATTACTCCATAGTAAGACCAAGTTAGGGTAGCTTTGAACAGAAATGGGTGGAACATTGGTCGTTTTTTCTTAAGTCTTGTCTGTTCAAGAAATTTGGAGGCGTAATATTCCACGTGCTCAAATTTTCTCCGTAACGTCACTTGTTTTGCACGTGGTTCAGTCAGTAAGACCATCTGAATGTCTGGTTTGTCTTCACCATTTTCAAGGTTCCAGTGTACTTGAGTACCCTAGTAGAGTCTGTTTAAAAGAAGGCCGAGCCCACTATTTCAAGTTACTAAATGTGTATTGTACTTATAAGTCAACTCTCTTTTCTGAAGTTTTGGTATGGCCATTCTTAGTCTTTATCTGTATATGTGTTGTCTAGCTGTATGAAGTAAATGATGATGAAGAAGATCTGATGGTTAATACAAAAAACCAAGGTGGAGAGGTAGAGATAGGGCAACCTGTTGAGACTGAGATAGCCATTGACAAATACTATTCAAAACGCCCAAAGACGATCACAATAGCAGAAGAAGTGAACGATGTTCTCTGGGTTTTCATTATGTAAAAAAGGTAGACGTGTTCCTATTTTATACTTCTTTTCTAGTAACAATTTGTATATGGAGAGGTTTAAACATAAAAGCCCCGAGAATTTTTTTACATTTTTTCGCAGTCTGTTTAAACCAAAGGTAACTGAACAGCTTTACTGGTACTTCATACTGGTATATCTGGGCCAGACCCTTTCGCCTCCCCCTTTTCCCCAGTCCTGTCCTCAAAACACAACGAAACGTCATGATCTCTCTCAACCATAGAATAAAACCAGAAAAGAGACGAGCTCTAAGTGCAAATCAAAACTGCGCCAAAACTTCCCTAGAGATATTGATCTCCATAGTGATTTTTCAAAGTCTCACGTATCAATTATTTGCCACTAAAAGATCACAATATTTTGCTCAACCTCATCCAATAGTTGTTAATTATATTCGCACAGAATTACGCCTAAGTCACTTTCAGTCCCATCGCCACTTTTACATATTTGACAACAATTGTATTACGTTCTTCTTTCTACCTTCAGTTTTAGGCTTGCAGTTTACGCTTCCCTTTTCTTTCTAGTTAGTGACAATTCGTTGTTATAAAATTTCCCTTGAACATGAAGTGGGAAAACAAACGAACGAACGTCACTGAACCAAGATGTACCCCGTGGGTTTATTGTGCTTGTCGCCGTAATCTGGAAGAAACACTGCTTCTTTGTCACAAGTGTTGGAAACATCATGTTTCCCTTCTGTGCCAAAGCCAAATGTGGAATCACAGGTAGCGCAGTTACTTCTTGGTTTCCAAGGATACCGATTCTTGCTCTGGAATGTGTATAGTCATCCCCAACGTTCATTGAATCCTTCCATGTTACAGTTGGACTGCAAGGAAGCTTGTGAGCCAGCCAGCGACTGCCATGTGTTCCGACCCAGGGAGGTGGCACGGTATTGTCCATCAGCTATCAGTGAATACAGAGAGCTGGCGGTCTTGTTGATAACACTGAATAAAGTTGGTATGATGGCTGACCCTCATACCGAGGCAAATTTTGCTGAAAGGCGTGTTCTAGTAGGTTGGCAGCTTGGTCTCAAACGTCCCTGGGCGACCTGTACTGTTTAAAAAGATTTTCATACTTGGCCAAACGGAACGATAGGTGAACAACACAAACAATGCCAATAGCCTTAGCAACAAAAGAGGTGCAAATTAACAAGAACAAATCAAACTAAAGGCTTTTGAAATGAGTTGGAGGCCAGGTGAACGTCGTCATCAATCGCTTTTAGCCTAGCGTTTCTTCTCGGTATTTGCTTTTATACGTAATTATATGAAATACTAATGATTAATCTGAAAAAAAAACTAATGCAAGGTATCCGCATGTTACCTTAGTGCCATCAATTTTCATGACCAGCGTCCATCACCACCTCTACGTGCTCCAAGGCCAGAGTTTGTCATGTGACAGTACACAGGAATCTTGCTAGAATCCGTTTGAGTAGGTATGTTTTGTTTTCGCTGATCGAAAAGAGTGCTTTTTAACAACAACAAAAAATGATATATAAGCGGAAACAATTATTCAAGAAACGACACTGAAATATAATTAAAATAGCATTTTCGAAGATTCAGTTCATCTGCTGCTCCAAGTATTTTTATCCTATTAGTTTTGGTGGTGACATTGTAAACATATTTTTTGGAGATTATTATTATTATTATTATTATTATTATTATTATTATTACTATTATTTTTAAGCTTTTTGCTATCTCCAGGTTAAGAACTTATTGTGTTAAAGTTTCACAGGAGAACGATTTTGTTGTCTCGAGTTTTATGATGGTTAATTTTATTGAAAATATACGCTGTATCACTATATTGTGTTTCTGGTAAATTTCCTTGCTCGAAGAATATGACTGACCTAACCAAGAAAAAGTACCACAAAATAAATTGCAGTTATGTAAAAAACAAAACAAGCAAACAAAGAAAATATATCACGAGAAAGCTATTACCAGTTGTATTGCCATAACAACGATTCTTCTTTATTTCGGCCTTGAGCCAGCTTGAGCTGTTGTCACATAGCTCTACCAATCAAAATTTCACACATCGTTACTTCATGCTTAATTATCGTTATTAATATGCAACGCTGGTTTTATGAATCCTTGATCAGATCTTACAAAACTATAAAATCATGGCTACACACTAAACAATTTTATCTTGAAAATGTTTAGAGTACTATCCAATATCACTAATCAATAATGATGACTTCCTACGCTATGCGTCTGCGTGTCTATGTCCCAAAGTAGATGAGGCAATTGGAGAATGACTTTTTTAACTCGGGAATTTCGCATGCACAACACAAGTTATCGTGAGTAATGGGAAAATGCGGCCACTTGATCGCTCGTTGGGCTGTAAGCGTTATGCAAATGAGGTACGTTCGCAGCTTACTTTTAAATTGCTGTCCACCTTTAATTACAATAAGCTGTTTTAGTCTAAATTAAAATATATAAGTTTAAAGAAGACTCGACCGTCAAAAATGAGAACATCGAGAATCGTGAAATCGATGAGCAGCATAAGTCCTCACTCGATGCGGACTTTGTACGGATTTCACAGAAACGGATGTCGTTGAAGTAGGGTTATGGTACAGTAAATGCACGTACGGCGAGCGAAATGATACAAACACAAACCTTTATTTATTGTAGCGCTAAAAAGAACGAAGAAAGAAAGAAAAAAATGCTGCTACCTGAAGTCGATCGCTTTTTCCTAGGATAGCAGATTTGTCCACTTCCCACTGTGCTAAATTAGCACCACATGGTGGGAAATCGAGAGAGCAAAGATTAAGACGAAATCCGATAGAAAGTCGAGCAATTTCAGTTCTTAGTGGACAAAAATCTGGTACCAGAATAATTTTAAGTATTTTACTGGCCTTTTCACATTTTCTTCAAGCTAAAGATGTAAATAATTGCCTGAAATAACACCGAAAACAGTTTCCCTTGGGAACGAGAGAAAACAAATTTCAAAGGTCAGAGACAGAAATTGTTCAAACACAGGTAAAATTTCGTCATCAGTTTCATTTCACCAGTACTTTCAAGTGATTCATACGAAGTTCAACATCTGTTTTCGACGTTTGGTGCTGCTAGAAATGATTATTTTTTTTCTTTTTGAGAAGATAT